ATCTCCTGGATGTATATATTCGAAACAACGTTAGAATGGGGAATGTTCGAAACTGTGTATATATGGCATTCTTGCGCGAGGAAAGGGACAGCTTGTACGTGCGCGCGGGGGGTGTGGCTTGTGCGCTCGCGTCGGACACGGAGACGTCGCGTCGTGGATTTCGGAAAGCACGACGCGACGGCGACGGCGACGGCGACGGCTGCTTCGTTCGTTTCTTTCGCTCCCAGGTCAAAGTGACCGTCACCATTCAGAGCTAGGGCTACTGTACGCCGGTGGCGCTACTGCTACTGCTAGCCATCACCACCAGCTAAGCTATCTAGCTAGCCCAGCCTATAGCTGCGCCAGCGGCGAGACAGCAGCGCGTCTCTGATGGTGTCTGTCTGCTCCCCTGTTGCTAAGGGCGCGTTTAGTTGCCTCTAAAGTTGGCGCCGTGTGAGGCACTGTATTACACCGTAGCATTTCGTTTATATTTGGTAATAATTGTTCAATCGTTGATTAATTAGGATTAAAACGTTTGTCTCGCGAAGTACAACTAAACTGTACAATTAATTTTTGATTTCGTCAACATTTAGTACTCCATACATGTACCGCAAGTTTGATGTAACGAAAAATCTTTTTTTTTTACATAGTACCAAAGTTTGAATTCTGGGTGAACTAAACATGGCCTTGCAAAGTTTTGGCCGCGTAAAGCAAAAGCCTGACGCTCCGGGGAATCATGGACGGTCCTATGCCTGTTCGGGAGGCCGTATCGTATCGTGGATTATTTATTGCTGGTTGATTTGGTATGAGAGAAAAATACTGTTCCCGGCTGAAAATTTACGATCATTTACGAGCAAGCGAACAAGCTGCTAGTAGGCTCAACTGCCCCGTGGCTTTATGGCCCTGTTCGCTTGTTGTTAAATTTGGCTTGTTTGGCTGGTTTTTTCAGCCAAAACAGTGTTTTCCTTTCACAACAATTCAGCCGGAACAGTATTTTTCAGCTAGTTTTAGCCAAATTCAGAAAAGCGAACGAGGCCTTACCCTCGCTGACTAGGGAGTGGAAAAAGCAAAGCAGGGATCCTGCATCCACAGCTCAAGGAAACAAGAGATGCAAAAGTACAAATTTCAGCATGACATCTTGAACTGACCCTAACTTCAGTTCATCAGTTGGCAAGAATTTAAAAACCTAACGATACACCAGCAAGAAATAGGACTGTGATGCTATCTTACAAGAGGGCTCGGCATGCAGTTTTATGGCGGTATTACTTACTAAAACATAAGTCCCACACAATCAGATAATTGTTAAATTAAATCAGATGCTGCAACTCCAGGAGCTAACAACATTGAGAAATGATAACACTGGCTCAAGCAGTAGAGCCCCAACCTTTGCAGTAGTAACGCAGCATCGAGCTTTTTAGAATGCGCTACAGGGAAAGAGCACATTTCCCCAATTTGACTAGACTGTAGACGATCAAGATGGACAATTCAAATTTTTTCCCAAGCAATGGCAATGTATTTTCCAGTGTAGAAGCAATAGTACTGTGTAATTACAAGGACTGGAACAACATCTACAGCCCTGACATACCCACATTGCCAAAAATCTAATTTGCTGGTTTTGTTTAATGCTAGCTACTCCTAATGGCAAAACTGGCTGTACTTACCACCCAGCCTCAGGTGTTTATTGAGCTGATCAAATTCACATCAATTTGCATGTACACCCGTCTGCTTGCCATCTAATTTTCAGTTACTACATGCATACCTCAATGCAGCGTCGATGGCGATGGGGCGGCGGCGTACCAGTGGAAGGGCACCCCGCCGGACTCGATCCGCGCGACGTCCACGACGAGCTGCTGGTAGTGGCCGGGGCGCCTCCTCCTTCTTCTTCCTCCTCCTCCTTGTCTTCCTCCTTCCTCCTCTCCTCCTCTCCTCCTCCGGCGGCGCGGGTGGGGGCGGGGGCGGCGGCGCGGTCTGCCTGCGTGCGTGTGTGCGTGTGTGCGGTGTGTGTAGGCCGGCTAGGCCGGCGGGGTTAAATCCCTCCTTTGCCGAGTGCCCTCGATCTGGCACTCGGCAAACTATTTTTTTTTAATTTTTTTAAATTCTTTGCCGAGTGCCACCCGGCTTGACACTCGGCAAAGAGGGTTTTTTTTAAATTCTTTGCCGAATGCCATACGTCCTGACACTCGGTAAAGTGGTGGTTTGCCGAGTGTCATTTTTTGACACTCGGCAAACCACATTTTTTTCACTTTTGACCTCCAAACTTTTTCTGCAATCCTCATACAATATCTGGTACTCCATGTTCCAATGTGGCACATTTCTCGGACTTTTTCTATATTTCTTTAATTTATTTCATTTAATTGAATTTTCTTGGATAATTTAAATTATAATTGCTAGTCATTCGAATAATTAAAAATGAATGGAAAAATGATATTCATGTTATTTAGTATAATATGAGGCCGTATCTAGGAACAGACCACCAATTTCGAACATCTTGTTCACGAAACATGACCACGAACTTGTGGCGAGTTGTTTTTAAATTCTATAAAAAGCAAACGAAGACCGAAAATCTTGAAACTTGTCGAGATGTCATGATATCATATGTGGAGGCTGTGATAAAAAATTAAGGAGGTTTCACGCAAATTTGTCACGTACGATGCTTACCACCTCGTCGCCCTCTTCACGAAATCATGAAACTTCTTCGGAGATTCTTCGGTTTGCAAGCATCGTACGTGACAACTTGCGCGAAACTTTATCAAATTTTTATCACAGCCTCCACATATGATATCATGACATCTCAACAAGTTTCATGATTTTCAGACTTCGTTTGCTTTTTATAGAATTTAAAAATAACTCGACCGCAAAGTTCGTAGTCATGTTTCGTGAACAAGATGTTCGAAATTGGTGGTCTGTTCCTGGATACGACCTCACATTATACTAAATAATATGAATATAATTTTTCCATTCATTTTTTTCATTGTTCGAATGACTAGCAATTATAATTTGAATTATCCAAGAAAATTCAATTAAATGAAATAAATTAAAGAAATATAGAAAAAGTCCCAGAAATGTGCCACATTGAAACATGGAGTACCAGGTATTGTACGAGGACTGCAAAAAAAGTTTGGAGGTCAAAAATAAAAAAAATATGGCTTGCCGAGTGTCAAAAAATGACACTCGTTAAATCACTACTTTGCCGAGTGTTAGGAGAAGACACTCGACAAAGGGTTAACGGCGGCTGCCGGCCGTTAACGACGGCGGCCCTTTTGCCGAGTGTTCTGGTTTGCCGAGTGCCCGACACTCGGCAAACCTGGTCTTTGCCGAGTGTTATTGTTTGCCGAGTGCTCGGCACTCGGCAAACCACCCTCTTTGTCGAGTGCTTGGCACTCGGCAAATAGACTCTTTGCTGAGCACTCGATAAAAAGCACTCGATAAAGTCTGGGACACTCGGCAAAGAAGCCGTCTCCGGTAGTGATAGTTAACTTAATAGCTCACAACCAAAAAATTAGGTAGCTATTAGCCACGAGGTTCTTAATCCTACCAGCTAATAAAAGGTCCAATTATTCTTTTACCGTTGCCTAGCTAACAGTTACTAGTTACTAATAATTATTGATTCATCTAGTGGCATTTTGGACACTTGTTTCCCAATTAGCTATGTCAATTTTCCCAACTAATGATATAGTTGTTTGTGCAGCTAACAATTAGTTAGCCTATATCTAGGATTGTTGGATCACCTAACTAACTATTAGGAGCACCGGCAGAGCTAAGGAGATGTTTGATTCGAGCTACTAAACTTTAAACTTTAGTAACTATTAAATGGTTTAGTCATATTTTTAGTAACTTCAGAGTTATGGGGTGTTTGGTTCGAGCTACTAAATTTTAGTAGCTACTAAATGGTTTAGTCACTTTTAATAACTCTAGAGTTACTAGAGAGGACTAAAGCCCTTTTAATCAAATTTAGTCATATATTTAGTTAAAAAGTTATTAAAGTGACTAAAAACTACTATAGCTACTAGACAAATCAAACAGGCTCTAAGTGCCAGCCAACTGGGTCACAGGTCCCCTTGCCCTCCGCTCGTCCACTGCTATAGAGTCGAGAATTCCGTCGCTTACTTTGAACTCTTGTGCTCCACAGTCCCCAGCCCCAAAATCCTATATATCCTAGACTGCTAGTCGCTCTTGGCACTTCTAAAGGTAAGAAGATTCGAGATTGTTCTAGTTATTTTTTAGCCGGTTCATTTCGGTTGAATTGATTTATAATTCATGGCTGAAAGTACTGCTGACTGGTTTGGTGTAAGAGAAAAACACCGTTAGCTGGCTGATAAGCCAAGGCTTATAAGCCAGATACAGGCTGCCAAATAGGCTATTTATAGTTTTGTTCCTTGCTTCTCATCTGAACCTCATGTGCTACAGCGTCGGTCCTCATGAAATAGAGTACAAATGCTATATTCAGCATTTGAAGGCTACTTACTCTATATTGGGTATATGTTCATTTATATTATTAATTAGACAAAATGCCCCCCTCTCTATTGTTGTGAGCTCCGCAACTGATTGAGAGGTTGGATCAAATTAAAGTCCATAACTCGATCCCGTCATTCCATGGCTACTTACGTCAAACAGAACAAGGCTTTACTGAATTTAGTCGAAATAATTAATACCAGCGTCCGGTGGGCTAGTGAAATCAAGACATTACTGGAGCATTGATCTCGATAATGAGATTACACGAGGGAAAGAGTGTGACTGCTAGCTAAGCACTCTTTTCAAACCAGAATGCTGTTATTTGCGTATTACTACAACAATATATAATGGGCCCAATTCAAGCAGTCTCTCCCAGTTCTATCGGAACAAAGAAAACACCCAATACTGGACGTGGTTGTATATAAGAGGCCCATCAGTAGTTTGGGCCTCCAGTCCATATATATCCTGACGGTTCCGATGATCCGATCGCTTCCAGCTCACACCTCTCTGCCTCTCACGCCCACACCACGCCACCGCACGCAGAGAGCGAGCGCGCGAACGGGGGAGACATGGCCCACTCACCGTCGGGATCGCACGCGGCGGCGCCCTCGATCGGGGACGATGCCTTCACCGACGCGGTGGCGGAGGACGGCGGCGACTCCAAGCTCTCCGCGCTCCTCTTCGGTACGACCACACCCCCCCGCAGTTCGCTTCCGCAGTCGCCCTCCCCCCTTCTGCTAAGTACCCGAGATGCTGAGTCTGTTTGCTACTGGGTTCGAAGCGATTATTCGCCCCATAGATTGGTGGTTGCTGATGCGGAATTTCCTAATTCGTGCTTCCTTCGAGGAATGTTTGGTGCTGGGGTGCGGGGATCGAATCCCCCGTGGTGTCTCGTTGCCTGGTTTCGCACGACGGCACGAGTCTGTGGTCTGCTTAGAATCGCGAGCAATTTGGTCCACATCCATCCGATTCTTCTCGGTTCGGTCGTTTCCCCATCCCGTCCCGATTCGATTCATTGTTTGGGGTTATGCTCTCTCGGTAATTTTTGAATCGGTGTCTCGAATTTCCTATCAGAAACATCTCCGTTCGGCGGCGATAGATCACTGGTTACATGTTACATCCCGATTTCCGAACACTCATTCACATGTGCACACACGGGATCGCCTCAATTGACTATCTATTCGCAAGCCAGTTGTAGTAATATGCTTCTAGATTGCTAGTGCGATTTGTTGCTGCTCGAATGGGGAGTGACTGTGAAAATGGGGGCTCTATTACTCTGCAGTCGTAGTCGGGGATGGTTCTTCTGATCCATACCATACCATGTTCATTTGTTTGTGGATCCCGTTCCAACTGGATGCGACATTTAAGGCAGCTTCCTCCTCATAAGTTTACTCGTAGTATTTGAACTGTTGTCTTAGATTTTTACATAAAGTCAAACGAATTTCATCTACAAATCACCTCTGTTGCATAGAGTGGACTGCTTACCGAATTCCATATACCCAAACTACTCATTCAAACTGGAATTGCTCTTCATACCAACAGAACAACTGTTGGCACCTGTGTATTCCCTGGTACAGTACTATTCGTGCTAACATGGGCGTGAACTGTTTTTGCGTTGAGCGCAGACGTGTCGCAGCAGGTGCAGGGCGGTCTCCAGAGCATGCTCAAGATGAGCAGGTGAGCACCGGTCGCGCTGTGCATCGTTATTCCAGATTCTCGATTAATCCAGTAAACCACCGGCTTGGCCCTGACACCGTTGTGCCGTGCCGTGCCGTGCCGTGCCGTGCCTCTTGTGACAACGGTGGCAGCGAGATCGCGCGGTGTGACGGCGAGATCGACGCGGAGGTGGAGCGCGCGAGGGATGCCGTGGCGGAGAAAGGCCGGGCGCTGCACGACGAGCGGGAGAGGGTCCAGAAGGCCGCCCTCGCCGCGCTCGACATCCTCAGCGGCGGCCGTGGCGCCATCTGAAGGGATGCACGCCGCACACCGCCACCGACAGTATGCCCCCACCTCAGATCACACACGGTTCTCGCAAGATTCCTGCTCCATTTGTGGATGTCATGCTGCAATACGTTTTTGGTCGATGTTAGCCTTTGGCAGTAGTAGTAATATTTAGACTGATGGCAGTAATATCAGCTTGTTGCCTGTTGAACCGCCGGAACGTAGTTCAGAACTAGATGTGCACGATATGATCGATGGAGATTGCCGTGGTAGGTACTAGTGCAGAGATGATCAGTACTGTTAGCGTTGCACGCTATCGCAAAAATGGTGACTTTTTTTTTTGGGATCTGGGACGTGTGTCTTTTGGAACTGAGACTGTTGATCAAGTGCAGTTGGGGAGGGGGTCTACGGGAACACGATTTGCGCTGCAGAATCGGGAGCTTTAGTTCTTGTGCTCAATTGTAGCTTCTGGGAGTCAGATCGTAGATTCTGCCTCTGCCGTTGTTCTGCAACCCAAACTTGTGAAGCGAGCTGTGACGAGCAACGAGGTGCCTCACGAACTTTCAGTTGACAATCCGTCGTCTTGTATAAGTTGTAACAGACGCGGTGTAGGTAACATGGGCCGGGTGTTCCCCACCAGCACATCGTACTGGCCCATCAGGCCATGGCCGGTCCAACTCCAAATAGCGCTACACATTTTCTGAAAACGAATGGGCTACCTCACACTACGTACTTCGTTTTTCAATCTTACTCCTATTTAGTGTTTTATGTCGATGACAGCATACGTCCTGTTCGTTTGGCTTATAAGCCGTATTTTTTTAGCCAACGAATAGTATTTCTCTCTCATAATAAATCAGCCAACAGTACTTTTAGCTATGGCTTATCAGCCAAGCGAACATGGCAATAGTCGACAAAGAATAGGGTTTGTTTGTGATCAAATGGAGAGGTAATACCCTACGTCTTTGTTTGTGATTTTTGTGTGCAACGGTTCGAGTATAATAGTAATTAAGCATCAGACCCTAGTTGCATAAAAGATAGGATATGGTCGGTCATAAATTACATTACAAAAAACAAAGTTTTCTAGGCTTTGGTTGTTGCTTATAAGTTCTTTATTAGGGGGACCGCTCATCTTCTAATATAGAGCACATTTGGTTTTCTAGGCAAGCCTCACTTTGCCTTACCCAACCAGAAAATGAAGAAAGCAATGAATTTGGTTCCCTTGCCTTGCCGAGCAAGGTTAGCTCCCCATCCAAACATAAACCATAATGTCTAAGAAGAGCCTGCCTTTATTTAGATTTCCTGGGAACAACTTCAGTAGGGCCATACTCACAACTTGAGAGTTGAGGAAAAATTCATCATCTATTAAGACCCCTACTGAAGTCCTACAGTGAGGAGGCCCTCAAATCGTTCCTATGCGCTCTCTATACCAGACCTACACACGCACTATCTCTTTTACTTGGCCATGTTGTCTCCCATCTCCATGTCTGGCGCCATACTTCTCCACCTCCGATATTGCTCACGCGCGGTCTTCCCTGCCTCTTCTACCGTCAACTTGCACGGCCTCAGCTACTTTCCTCGTGGATCTGGACCCTCCCCCTTTCAAATTTGTTGCTGACCTGCACCTCCTCTGGTTATTTGCCATCAAATTGACGTTGCTTGTCGCTGACAAAGCCTCCACGTTGAATCGAGCCTCCCTACTCAAGCACCTACACGAGCTTCAACCTGCCAAACATGCACAATCTTGTCCACCTGGAGCCTCATCGAGGATGAGCCAGCCGTGGCTACAGAAAACACCGACATCATCTTCGTGTCCTTCATGTCATGCTATAGCGGAGGCTCCTCAAGTTTGTCGCCGGGCACCACGAGTGGCACCACGTTGTGCTCGCGCACCACCGTAGCACCTAGTAGGATGCTTGACACTAGCTTCTTCACTGGCAGTGGTGGAAGGGGCAGACAACACAGTCGAGGCGATGATTCTAGCGGTAGAGGAGGGAGGTAGGGGAGGGACGATGTATCTGGTTTTGATGGGAGAAGGTAAGGGATGATGGGGATATGGAGAGAGAAACAAGGACATTAGAAGAAGAAAAAAGGAATATAAGACAGTGACAAAAGGGTTCCACATGTCATGAGAGAATTGAGGGCTAAAATTTAAGTGTTGTTGCTAGAGTTGGATCAACTATTTGAGAGTTGTACAAGTAAGGAAAGCCCCAAATTCACTAAATATAGATCCTAATCTGAGGGATATTATTGAGGTTGGTGTAAGCTTGTTCTTCAAGTTGGCATTATCGAACAAATATTATCCCCAATACACTAATATCCACCGACAAATCTACTACGAACCTGTACTATCTTTTCACAATTTTGGTACTACATTTGAATTAGAAAATATTTGCTTGGGAAATCTCCACTAAGTCGTTAAAAATGAGTGTTCAAAATCTGATTTTGCCAACCGGGTAAAAGAGTTGCGAGCAAAAGATTTGTCATCCATGAACAGTTCTAGTTTTTTCCCTCTATATAAGACCACTCTCAGCGGGAGTTTTATAAAAGTTTCATGTACATTAAATAAGCTAACATAACATAAGCATAGATGAAAAAGATGAAACTTGTCTATGTTGTTTTCAAAATATGTATGAGATTATTGGAAACTGGGACATGAAACTCCCGCTCGTGGGCCTAGCGATTGATGGATTCAGCTTGGTCCGTGGTTTACTCGATCACGCCATCATTGATAGCCGAGATCGGCGTCTACAACTGCCATGCCACCACATCGGCAGTCAGCAGGCACAGCCAAGGCAGGCCAATCGTGAGCAGGGCAGGTAGAGCCGTAGAGGTCTTCCGAGGATACGGCGAGTCGTAACAATTCTCAGCCTGTTCGGTCGGAGCTGAAACGATCATATACGATCGTGGATTATTACTGTTGGCTGGTTTGGTGTGAGAGAAAAATATTGTTCTGACTGAAAATTTACGATCGTTTACGACCAAACGAACAGGCTGTCTGTTTACAAAGGCAATTGAATGAATCATCGTCGGACTATTTCACACTTTTCTCTTGTCATCACAGGTCGTACAAAGTCATCGTAATGTGTATGGAAATATACGGTGGTTCTATCTCGAGACAATGAGACATACAATTATTTATTTATTTATTTATTGAGATAGAGAGAAGGGACACTGAAGAATGTGTAACGATTATTTGGCGGGTGATTCTAAGGACTACACAAGTCTATTCCGACGGAGAGATTTGTGTGTATTCGATTTGATTAGGCTGATGTAAATTGCGGTAAGGATGTCTTATTATTAGTTTGGTTTCTGCAGGTTTAGGATGCATGCATGGACCAGGATCGTTGTATTGAATGAATTCGTTACTGTTTCTATTTTCCACGAAAACACTGATATACCTTTTTTTTCAATGTATATAAGCAATATCATTCTAGATAGATGGCTGATAAATAAATATATGTTGATCAGACATATAGAAATAACAATAGTTATCGGTCAAAGATTTATCGTAGCTTGTATACAAAAATAATGTTATCGAAAATAGAATAGAGGGTACTTTAAATCTCTAGAAGAAAAGTTGGCAGAATCTCTTCTTCTATTTTGTTTGTGATGAGGGAAGAATCTCTAATTTACGTCTTGTTCGTTGGAGCTTGTTTAGCTGATAAGCCATGGCTGAAAGTATCGTTGGCTGATTTGGTGTAAGAGAAAAACAGTGGACTAAAAAAAAAAAGCCAAACCAGCTCCAGCGAACAGCCTTATCAGTTGTCCACGTTGGACCCGGGCGTCCGCGGCCGTAGAAAGGTCAGCTCGAAACGGAACCTTCTTCTCCAAATCCTGATATTCTATTGGCATGAGAACGCGGCGAAGCAAAGGAAAGCAGAGCGTCCGGACCCCCCTACGTGCCTCGTCGCTCGGCAGCCGTCCCGCCCCGGCATCAGGAATTCAGCATCCTCGGCTGCCAACTCGGAAGGGAATCGGCAGAACTACTCGGCACCGCCCGCCTCTCCCTATATAAAGCAGCCACAGCACCGCTCCGAGCTTATCCCTCAGGTCGTCGACTCGTCATCAGATCAGCCAGCCAGCCAACCAAACCAACCAGAGCCTCCACCAGTTCACTTCGCACGCGAGGTCCGAGCCTGATCGATCCGTGCCGCAGCAGCCCTTTCGGTCGTTCGCCGCCGATAGATGGGGTCCGTGAAGAAGGCGGCAGTGGCGGAGAAGTCGGCGGCGCGGGCGGTGCTGCGGCGGGCGGTGGACGGCACGACGGTGGACCAGGCGGTGGCGTACGTGCTCATGGCCGCCGCGCTCGCCGTCACCTACCTCGTGCGCTGACAACCGGCCGGTCCGCGCGGGGCGTTGAGTTCTTCGCCATAGATCGATCGATGCCTGATATATTTGTAAGATCGTTATTAAATATACTTAAATTAATTTAGCTGCAAGTGTTGCATCTGGTCTACGCTGTGTACGCGACCCTGCACCGCGTTTGTCGATTTGTGCAACACACACACAAAAAAAAACTAAGGGATTCCTTTTTATTGCACGTTTATTTCTTGTCTCGGTTCGATGCATGCCTCCCATGTCCTGTTACCGAAACTCTGACTTGTCATCAAGTTCTCATCGTCGTGTCACGATGCATCTCCCATTCTCCCCTCCCCTGTGTCTCGCTGCATGCCGCTGCACCACGCGGCGCCAACTCGTGTCGGACGCCTGCCGTATGGGCACTCTCGATGAGGACACGAGTACTCTTCTCTGTAAATGATTTAGGTTAATTTCTTTTTATCTTCGGTGGAGCAGAGAGAGAACAGGATCACATGTCTTCCACTATTATATACAAAATAATTTCACGAGATACTGTAATTTCATGAGATACTGTACGATTATTAATAGAGACGGTCACAAAATAGACCCATCTCGTAAATAAATTAGTTAAGAATTTGGAGATGGCCGTTTTACTCATAAAAAGTATCCGTCTCTTAAATTGGATCTACAAAGGCGGTTAAAATTTATACGTCTCTTAAAATAGATTT